ATAAAACTGAAATAAAAAATAAATTAAACCTACACTCTAAAAAATGCTGGGTTGTTTTAACCCAATTTTGGGTCAAATGTGGACAAACTCAAACATTGGGTTAAAGTCCCCGTGAACCGGAAGTTGCAAACGATTTTTCTCCAGTGCTGTGACATATTTCCAAGTGAAACGGAATATTGAACAGAGGGCAGGGTTTTACTCTAGCGCTCCTCCTCTCCATCTCTCGCTCATAGCAAACTAATGGTTTGAGGGGAGTGGTTAAGCGTTTCCCCACCCAAACTGTGAAACCTACGTCATCAGAAAAAGAAACCGTTCCAGACCAGAAGTAACTTTTCAGATTTTGATTAAAGATTACCAAGGTAAAACATTTTTTAAATATATTTTTACTTGCACGGATTAATTGTTCACCACAAGACTAGTAATATGCGCTAACAAAGTAAATAGGTTCAATTTTGATTTCACGGGGACTTTAAAAATATCATTTAAAAATGTAACCAAATGGCTGGGTTTGTCCATATTTGACCCAAAATTGGGTTAAAACAAGCATTTTTTTAGAGTGTAAATAGTAATATTGAAACAAAACAAGAACATAATAAATGACAAAATACAACAATATTTCCAAATAATCTACTGTAATTAAACTATTAAATGAAAACTGAAAATAATAAAAAATTAAAAGCTAATTCAAAATATTAATAAAAAACTGTAATAGTATATAAATAAAACCAAAATAATACTCTATTAAGCATTCAAATATCTAAAAACACACAAATTCTGAGTCTATTTGCATTACTAAAAGTATTCTTTATAAGACTGAGCTACTGTTTATCAATACTTGTTTTTCCCTTATATTTGGTTGAAGAATATGATTCCAGTCCATTATGGGTTTGTCAAATTCCCCAAAGGATGTGATGCAAAATAAAGCTGCATGCTTTTTAAATAGTCATTCAATGTTGGGAGTGTGCCTATGATTCCTTAAAATGTGGCCTACGTAGGAAGCTCGCTATGTTTTGGAGAAGTCAGAGAGGGAGGAAAAAAATAGATTGAAGGGCTGACTTTGAGATTGGAGATTGTGTGGGATAATGGCTGTGGTCTTTGGCATCAGGGAAGAGTTTCCATGATCCCTTTCAAACTCCCTGGAGAGCCGCCGCAGGCCAAACCGACAACATTTGTCCTCTACCGTGTAGTTAAAAAAAGATCAGGGCTTTCTCCTTTACTCATTGCTGTTACAAATCACCAAGGGCCCGTAACATTTAAGGACAAGGCAGATGATACTAAGTCAATATTACACAGACAGAGAGTCACATTAGTCAAGAGCTCTGTTTGAGATCTCTTCCAAAACCTAGATTAACTAGACAGCAACTTAGGGCATCTTAAGCACATCCCAGACACAAAAGCTGTTCCAAAAAGTAGGCAGTCCCTCCAGAAAAAAGCGATTATGCGATTATGCATTAGGGCTGCACGATTATGACAAAAATCATAATTGTCGATTATTGCCCTGAAATTATAATTGCGATTAATAATTACGATTATCACAATTTACATTGAATTTTGTTTTGAACAACTTTATGTCATTGTTCGAAGAAACTGCATGCAAATTTTTATATCAAAATAAAATGTCTGAAAACTCCTGAAACTTTCAATGCTTTTCTACAAGTAACTTTAAGTGCTTTTAACTTTTTAAATGCTTTTCTACAAGTAACTTCAAGTAACACCAAGTAACTTTTCCTCTTCGGTCGCCCTACTGGTTGGAAACGAAATTGTCCATTGCCGCTGTCGTAAATAATTTAGCCTACCGTCGCACGCATGCTCGCTGTTTATCCAGCACTGGCTTTAGAATGAACGATGTCCACAGACAATGTAGAGTATGTTACATGATTTCATGAAAGGATGATGTATTGCGACATCAGAAACAAAAAAACAACAACGAAATAATGACAATTGTAGTGCTTGATGTAAAGCAGTCGAATTTTGTAGTTCTTTTTTTGGTCGGGTTCCTACCCGAACCCCGAAGTTAGTGCTAGTAAAAGTGATACAGACCCCGTCAGGCGACGGCAGAAGTGCCTTTCACCCTGTTACGACTTGATGAACCACTGATAAGATTTTGGAAACATTATTTTAAGTAAACAATGCTAGATAGTGTTGCTTTAATGCTAATTATAATTATAATGTTACACTAACTAAAATTGAAACAATGGGGAAAAAACCCTTAAGATAAACTGTAAAAAAAAACAAAAAAAAAAAACATTTTAAGCACACAGAATAATGTAAGTGGACTTTTTATAATTGTGCCATTGAACGATTACATAATTGTGGCATCCATAATTGTAATCGCGATTACAAATTCGATTAATTGTGCAGCCCTATTATGCATAATTTAGTGCATAATCAGCCAAAGTCTGCATATTTTATCGGCCAATACATCGATAATTGACTTTCAAATATAAAGAATTATTGGTTGGCTGCATAAAACAAAATGTACACATTGGTGCATCCCCTAAGTAAAACATCCTTCCGTCAACAGGTCCGATCCTCTCTTACACTGGCCGCGGGCCACCTTCATTGTCAAGCCCTACTCAGCAGTCTAAGGTGGTGTGAAGGCATCAGTAACTCAAGACTGAATCTGAGCTCTAAAACCTTTCAGAACGGCAATATGATATTCAGTAAAGCGAAAAAACAGCCTCGACAACATGTGCTGCTGTTCATCTTGAGTCTGCAGTCCACATTTCCCAGCCGGCCTGGATGTAAAAAAAATATGCCACTATTTCCCCACCGGGACGTCATCAAATGACACGACAAGCAAAGCGATTCCAGCAACCACCACATCAAGAGCTGACAAAACATGTCATTCCTGATTCAAGCAGGGATGGAACGGAGGGATCAAGAACAGGAGAAAGAGAGCGAGGAAACGGATAGACCCAGACCTGTGACTTCACGAAGCATTTCCGGCTGAGCTGTCTGTCGTAATAAGCAGAGCTCTAAATCTAAAAGGATGACAACAAAGGAAAAAAATAACAAGTCTAGACTAGTCGTAATAAATCCTCACACTGAAAGCTAAATGAAAAGAATCAAAAGCAAACGTCAACAGCTGCATTTTTCAATGAATCCTTGCAGCATTTTGGCACAAATTCATCCGTTACTTGGGAGAATCTAGTCAAATTAGACACCAACATGGACAAACCTACACTAGATGTTTCAGAGCCTAGAATTTACATTAGATCTGAGGCAACACCAAAATAGCATAATAATAGGGCTGGGTATTAAGACAAATTTCACAATTTGATTCACAAGCTTGCAGTTCGATTCGATTTCGATTACGATTCGATTCGATTCAATATCAATTATTTTGGATATCATTTACAATAAATGGCCATTTTTCTCAAGGTAATCAAATCTCTTAAATGCTGTAAACTATGGGAGTCTAGTTGCAGCCAATAGGCTTCATTAGCCTAATATGAAGGTAATAATTAAAAGTTTTGTAGCTATACAAACACTTAAATTACACTTTTATTTATTTTTATAATAAGAAGATTATATGAAATATAAACATTTAAATGGTGGCTGTCATAAAAACTTGCCAGATTTATTCAAATATGCATTAAATATTGAAGAACATTAAGATTATAATGCATATGTAATATGGTGTATATATTTAGCTAAATGCTCCTCTCTGGAGTTATTTTTTCTAGCTGACTAACGAGTTTATGTGGGTTTTCTGAGGTAAATATGACGATACATGACATTGATTACAAGCTGTTTAACTGACGTCTTTCCACGGTTGAAACGCTGATTGAGCGAATGCGGATTTCGATAAGTTGTACTCTATCTTTTAACACACTTTCAGATGCTCATTCATGTTTATTTCACGGTGTGACTGGTATTATTAACCCGGAAGAGAGATCAGCGCGGCTGCTTCTCCTGAGCTTCGCCAGAGCGATCTCACGCCACAGCGCCAAAACGCTATTTATGTTTTTGAATTTCTAAAGAAAATGGACGTAATTTGAAAATTGAGACTTCGTTTCATATCAATAGTAACAAAGGACAAAGATTATTGCGATTTTTTTTAGATGTGCGCAGCCGCGATACAATGTCCCATTCATTCAAATGAAACAGGATGACTAATCGATTCTTGAGATTTAAGAATCGATATCGGTTCTTAAAAATGAGAATCGATTAATATCGAGAAATCGATATTTATTACCCAGCCCTACATAATAAACAAAAGTAATGTAAAATGAGAACATCAAACAACCTGTCCAGGTTCAGATCTGTCTAATTTGATGAGCTTCAACCAAATGACAGATGAATTTGTGCCAAAATACTGCATGATGACCGCATCATCAACAAGTGTTTTCACTAATGCTGAGACATGAAGAAAAAAACGGGTGTGTAAAACAGGATTCATGCATGATGAACTTGTTCGTACAACTGAAAACAACATCTCAGGGAATCAACCATTGTAACGCTGTCTTATGGGGTTTCAAAGGCCCCATGATGAATTGTCAATGATCTCACTAGTTTAAAGCACAGACAGTGATACATGACCGCACATGATCTTCAGGAAAACATGAAGGCAGCTAACTAGGTTTTAGAGCACAACCACTTGTTTGTGTTTGGGTCTTCAATCTTCAATTTTTGCTTTTACGTTGAAGCCAAATCACCAAAACTATTTCCATAGCAACATCCCATTATCCCAGGGGATTCAAGTGTACACACACACACACAACACACCTCCTTATTCTCCCAGAGCTCCTGCACACCTGTTTCCACAACAGTGACATAAACCAGAAACCACATCATAAATCCCACACTTTGATCAGGTTCATGATGACAGATCTCCGACGCACATCGCTCACATTACATGATCAGGCATCCCGAAGCAATCTTGTTCATCTACCGCCTCAATTAGTACATATTTACAAGTCTACTATCTTCTGATGGGCTTTATTTTGCATGAATCAACAATGAAGCTTCAAAAGTAAGCCAATCAGTTTTCATACCTGCATCCTTCTTGTTTTTCCCACCGTCTCTGCTCTTTTTCAGCACGGCCTTAAACATGGCGTGACTCCAGGAATCCCTTCACGATTGAGCTGTGGAAACACGAGAGAGATTTCACATGAAGCAGCAGGTTTGGTAAATTCAGAAGATCTTACAGTCTAGAGTTACACTCCACCCTAGAGAAAACTCTCCAGAGAGATCTTCGAAATACATACTTTGACTACATGCTCTTTAATATCCCTGAGGCGTTGATTTTTATTAAAGCCAACAGATTTACACTTTTTTTAATGGAGGTCACATTCCTCGTATCATCAGAAAACGTAAACTGTATTATCGCCCAGCTATAATCTGTTGAACGTGACTGTAAGGCATGAATACATATAATAAACATTAACTATTAATATCACTATTTTCTAAAAAGCTGCTTTGAAAATGTTTTGTGAAAAGTGCTACAAATAAAATTGACTTTATGGTTTACGTTTGCTACTACCTATCATAGAAATATGAATTGTTAACATTTACAATTATCTAAACAATGACATAAACTTCAACATTGAACCTCAGCAAATTGTTGTGTGAAAATGCTGACAAAAATGTATTTTGCCATTAAATGTTTTCTTAAATATTAGTGTACTTGTAGAGCCAGACCGATATTATCGGCCGATATTAGGCATTTTCCAAATTATCGGTATGGCCGATTATGAATATTTTGTATCATATTTTGATACTGAATATTTTTTTAAAATGTGTGACTATCATGTCGAGTTTTGCTGCTGTTAAATAAGCCGAGAATGAAGCGGAATTGGCTAGTGATAGTTATTACATTACATTATGTTGTTACAGTGTAGTCCTTTTAACTTTTGACAATGTGACTGAAGTATTTCTTTAATAGCGCGTGACAGTTATAGCAATGAGATGCATCATCTCTCCTTGGCCTGTTATATTGAAAATGTGTGTTTTACAATTTGTTGCGCGTTTCTGAAATAATAATTAAGAAAAAATATCGGCCGATATATCGGAATATCGGATTTGAAAACCAATAAATATTTGTATCGGTATCGGACTTCAAAATCCTTTATCGGTCGGGCTCTATTGTTTATCAAGAAGAAAAGTGTCAGAAAAAATTGAGATGAAATATAAGAGGTGTATAGTGTAAAAAAAAGAAGAAAAAAAAAGAAAAATCAAGGTAAATGTCACTTATGAACATAATATTTTGATCAAATGCCATTTTCAACGCAGAATGCTAATTTCAGATGTGATTGAAAAGACATCCGTTGGTTCAGAAAAGTGATGGTTTAGAACACAATTCTTGTGGGTCGCATTTACAGTATGTTTACGTTATTAATAGAAAAGTCAAATAAAATAGTGTGTTTTAAGAGAGCCAAAAGAGCTTGTATAATGTAGGGGAATAAAGAATATAAAAAAGAGCATTATCTAATAGCTCCTTGTATATTTTATTTCTCTATTTGGAGATTTTTCCCACAGTCCACCCACTCCAATGTGTGATCGCTGGTGGGCCGGCATGGAAAGAATTCTTCAATATTTGCACAGAGCGGCTCTGCTCCGCTATCTTGTTATTCCGGAAAACAAGCTGTTGGATTCCCAGCATTCCACGTCTAATTGATGCTAAACGGCTGAACTTGGGCTTCTCGTACCACTGGTCATAATAGTTCCTTCACCTCTCAGAATTAGCAGCACAGGTCAAACACATTACAGCACGTCTATTTATGCAGTTGTTTCTGCACTGTACCTTCACTCGGGGTGTTCAAATGAAACGGGAAGGTGACTGAACACAAACACATCAGGTGTGTGCAACACATCACTATTATCATCCATTTCAATCCCTGGGCAATGTTATAGTAGAAAGAAATAATGCTTAAAGGAGTAGTTCACTTTTTACTCACCCCCATGTCATCCAAGATGTCCATGTCTTTCTTTCTTCAGTTGAAAAGAAATTTTCGATTATTTTTTTCCATATAATGGACTTCAATGGGAACCAAACGGTTCAAGGTCCAAATGAGTTTCAGTGCAGCTTCAAAGGGCTTTAAACCACACTAGACGATGAATAAGGGTCTTATAAAGCGAAACGATCACTCATTTAAAAAATAAATAACAAACTTTAAGTTTTATAAGCTCAAATGGTCGCCTTGCTCTGTTCTGTGATGTGCGTTCATGACTTTCCTGTTCGAACTCGTTCATCAAAAAAATAAACAAATCTTTTTTTCGAGTCATGACTCGAAGGGTCCTTGATAAGACCCTTATTCATCGTCTGGTGTCGTTCAAAGCCCAACTCTCATTTGGACCTTGAACCGTTTGGTCCCCATTGAAGTCCATTATATGGAGAAAAATCCTGGAATGTTTTCATCAAAAACCTTAATTTCTTTTCGACTGAAGAAAGAAAGACATGGACATCTTGGATGACATGGGGGTGAGTAAATTATCAGCAAAAGTTTTTTTTTTTTTTTTAATGTGAACTACTCCTTTAAGACACTATTTGATCTATACATATTTATTTTTTAGGTTTTTTTATTGCATTTATTTATTTAGACACAAATAAAAATAACACTTTAACAAAAAAATAGTACTTGGACAATATAATAATGACAACAAAGCCATGATAGCTATAATAAAAAAAATGGTAGCTCATTAAAGTTAGCCTATTACTCAGGAAAGTATTTTGTCAAACTTGGTACCATATTCTAATTTAAGCTAATGCTTCTTATAACACTTAACTACACAAAGAACTTGAGGATGATGCACTGGACTTTTATTTCTCTTAAAAATGCAAAAATCTAATTCTTTAATAAAATTTCCAAAACTAATCTATTTTGTAGTTATTATATTTTCTATACTAGGTCTCTGGACTACTAAGAATATTATACTATCTACTAATTTTCCCCATAATTTGATACATTTCCCAAAGAGATCCTCTCCATCACATAGATTTCATATGTTGGTCTGTCCGTTATATTTTTGCACTACCAATGGTTTTCTCTGAGAAAACAGCCTTGCTACAAAGACTAGAGGTAACAGTAAAATAAAAAGCGTGCCTGACAGCTCTGCTCAGATGAGACGAGACAAGGTGAGGGTCTGAATCTGGAGTCGTGCTGAACTCACAGCAGACACCTCAACATTGAGATCAAGCATGAAGAAAATCCTCCCGGTCTTTCCCCTTGAGACGAGCGAACGTCCCGATCCGCATCGATTCAAGCTCTTGGATGTGAAGGCCTGCTGCGACCTCATCCAGAGTGAGAAGTTAAAAGTTGAGGAGCGATGCAGGAAGATTCGGTACAGAAACAGATGCACTTATATTTCAAAACAAAGTTCAAAAGAAACGCTGGACCCCAACAAGAGGCAAACAAATTGGGTTCACACTGCTAATCTGGTTGAAAACTGGCACCTGCAAGCAGCTTTTTTTAGTTTAGCTTGCAAGAAAAAGCACTGTAAATAAGCTCAAATATTGTTGCAGATTATATATAAATGCTACAAATAACACATTCCTCCGGCTTACAGTTTCAAACATTAAAGTGCTCCTAGAAACCAAACGCACATTAATCATACCTAAGCCTCAGACCTTCCTCTGCACTTGTAAACACACAAATACTATGGAAGTCAATGGGGTTCATCAAGTGTTTGGTTTACAGACATCCTTCAAAATATCTTATTTTGTGTTCAGCAAAAGACAGAAATTCACACAGGTTTGGAACAACTTGAGGGTGAGTAAATGATGACAGTATATACTGTATAGTACCTTTTACTTAATAGTATACAACTGTTAATGTAAACATGTATTGTTATATGTACAAAAATACTTTTAACCCTCTGGGGTTCTTCAGGTCATTAATGATAAATGTTAAAAAGTCAAAAAAATGTTAAAAATCGTAGCTTCATCGGAATGGTCCGGAACTCGGTGACTTTAATGGTACTTGGTACAGTGAATGAACACCCAAAAAAATTGGGGACAGGATTTGAAAAGTCTAAGTGGTCGTAAAAAAATATTCACACTCAGGACCTTCGGGTCAAAAATGACCCGCATATGAAATGAATGGGAAATTGGCAAAAATGTGAAAATACTGAGTTTTTTTGTGCGTACAATCTACAAATCAGCAACGATCTTGAAAAAAAGCACACAACAGTGAAGGGGTGAATCTATAAAACATCAAGAGTGCAAAACAGACACATCCACACACACACAAACACACCTTTATACACAAACACACCAAAAAATTCAGATTATACATGTGTTTTGCATTTTTAAAAAGCTCAGTTTGTCCACGAGATGGCATCCATCTAATTTCAAAAATTGTTTTTATGAGGCCTAGGCTTGACTCCAAAATGAAATACAGCTTTAAAAAAAATATTTATTTATTTTTTTTAAATATTTTTTCTATTATATTCAATGGGGGGAAATTTGGTCATAATTATTGCATTAATACTAATTATAAATTTTTGTATTTTTAAAAATTTTCTCAAAACACCAAAAAAGAAAAGAAAAAAATATTATAAAAAACAAGTTAAAAAAAAAAACATGATTTTCTTTTTTAAATATGAATCCCGCCCTTTGGGTCAATTTTGACCCGAAGTTCCCGAGTGTGACTGTTAAACGAACAACCCCAGAGGGTTAACTAAGGATTATTAATGCTGTTAAAAATCTATATACACACTGCTATGAAGTATTACAATAAAGAAAATTTTTAAAAATAAAGTTTGTGTGTATTATATCCACACTTCTACAAGATGTACCCAGACAAACTCTGATCTGAATGTGATCCGTCTCCAGTTTTTCCATCCTGGCTGTTGTTCCTGTTACAGGATAGTGAAGTGAACCTCCTAAAAGACTCAAATGTGCAGCACATGCGAGCAATTACAGCAGCATGTCTCGTTCCAGACGACCTCTCTCACTCCATCCATCCCTGAAGCAGCGACGAGCAAAACTGCTGCGGACAGACTCCTCCAACTCTTAAACGGATAAGAGGAGGGAACAGGAATTCTGACACCTTCACAATCACAACACGTAGAGCTGGCTGAACATGAGATATATTTCAGGCTTTTTACTTTGATATTTATACATCTTTCTCAGAAAAAGCTTAAA